TATGATTTTTCTCCTCTAATGTTTCCACTTTTCAGTTCCCAAGTCGGAGTCCACTTTGGTTTTTAGCCATTTTCCAAGCGCACTTTGCTCGGCCAACAGCAATTAGCGTAATTTAGTTGCATTTAAGAAGCGGAAATAAAACTATAGAGATTTTTTTTTCTGCCAACTTGGTGGAAGAAAGAAAGGCTGGACCGGCAGTTCCGATTGAAGAAATTCGCTATTAATGTTTTTGTTTGCGGTTTCCATTTCGCTGAAAATTTTCCATCAACAACCAAGCTCTTTTCATCGAAATTGTAATTTAAATTCAAAATCCATTGGAGACCTCCGGTTGACAGCTTAATGCTGTCGCTGTTCTGGCCCGTTGGAAACGTTGAAAATTTCATTATAATTTGATTGTGGAAATTATTACAAATTAACTGGATTTTGCTTAGAGCCAAACTTTAATTGAATTCACAGCTGAGAAAGTTCTGGCGCAACTTTCTTCATAATTCAACTTTCTTCGAGTCTTAATCCCATCCCCCCCATCCTCCCAGCCCTGATGGCTTTTTATTTGTTCAACTTTGGCACGTTCTTGGCTTCTACACTCCCATCCTCTAGACAATGTTTGTTAACCAAACTTATTTATTGTGCTGCCAACACCTCCCCCATGTAACCAGAGCCCTCTGAAATATCCAAAAAGGCCAAAAGACAATGAGATTTTTCCTTTCTCTGGGCGGCAATATTTTCGTTGCATGTTTATGGCCGTCATGGTAATGCCAATTTAATTTGGCCATAATTACGCTAATAATTTCACAAATCTTTGCCATTTTCGTGAATATTTATTTAACAGTCTTTGGAGGTTAAAGGATACTACATAACCTTCTCGATTAATTATTCATTTTGTGGAAATTGCTACCTTTTTTTTTGCAAATTGGAATTCCATTAAAAATCACATCAAAGCAACCAGAGGAAAGCAAAGAATTTGATGAAAATTTATGCAGAAATTAGCATAAAAGTCTGTGGAGAGAGGGCCTGGTTGTCACCCCACTTATAGGGCCCTGATGCCTGGCAATGAACCGAAGCTAACCTTGAATCCGATAGCTGGAGAGCTGGAGGTCTTGAGAGGAAACGCGCGTGGCAGATTATTGCAAAACTTGCACTAATTTATCATGCGAAACGCCCCCGCAGAACAAACAATTACACAATTGCAATTGCAGCCTGAAATCAACAGTTTTTGTTTAGAAATAATATTATATATGACACTGATAGGAAGGGGAAATTCAGCTCTGAGTGGGGTTTCGACTTAAGTGACTCATCATTAGAGCGAAAGAAACAAAAAATCCACTTTAAAGATAATAAATCCGGTCTGATTTCATTAAAGAGGCCATCGAAAGGCACTTTATCGCTGTGGGCTATGGACATAATAATGATTTGCAAATAAATATATCAATATTATGTGTCATTTAAGGAATTTATTGCTGAATTAATGAGCCATCATGAGCATACATTTCATTAAGAATTTCAAACTTAATCAAAATCGTATATTTCCTAAAATTCCACCTAAAAAAAAACCTATTCCATTTAGAATTTCACTTTTAAAGGACATGTGTCCTGTATCTATAATTTGTGGACCACATTTAGTCCTCGCACAAGTACGTGCAGTTTTTATCCTTGTGCCAGATTGATTTTCCTTGCTGCTTTTCCCACAGATTGCGCCACCATTGTGGTGGCAGATACTTTTTTTTATTTTTTTGTTGTATGCCCCATGTTCTTATTGATTTTTTTTGTTCCCTTATATGTATGTACATATATTACATGTGAGTGTGTGTCTTTGTTGTAATCAGCAAAAAGGAAAATCGGTTTTTTGTTTTTGTTGCTTTTTTTTTAATTGCATTATGCAGTGAAATCACAGGAATGACAACAAACGGGGCGGCGGGTCTAAAGTTAATTTCATTTGCGAGTATATGTATGGACAGGATGGATGCAGGCTGGGAGTCTAGGGCTTGGCTTGGCTGCCAATGGATACCATTGTTTGGGCCGTCAAAAGTTCGAATTTTGCGGAGGGGAAGGGGGGTGATAGGCAATTGCAATTGTTCGAATTCGGTTCAAGGATTTCCACATCTATTAGGGAAATGACGGCCAAGAGTGCTCTGGATGGAAGATAATTTGAAAGGGAACTTTTAAAAAATATCAATACTTTAGTCAGAATGTCCCATTTTTCCATTTCCCTTTCCCTTAATCAAGCTGGCCATAAATCTGACGTTGGAGCCATTAATTTGGAGCCGCTTAAGGGCTTTCATTTGGCAACTTCATTTCTTTTTGGCCAACTCTGCCACAATCCGTTGCACGTGGCTCACTCTCCCCCGTAGCACGCTTTCCGTTTATCACCTTCCCTTATCAGTGCAGCGACAGACAAAGGGAGACTCAACTATTAAGGCTTCTCCCCCCCCCTGGCTCCACTATATAGTACAATTCGAAGGACTTTTTTTTGGAAGAACTTCTGGCTTTGTGACCGAAAGAGATAGCAGCAGGCATGGGCCACATAAAAATGCTAATCATTTGCTCATTAAATCCGCATCATCCGCTGCCGCAGCCACTGTCGACGTCGGTGCTAGTGTTAATGACAGGACACCAGCAAGGACCTTACGAGGAAGTCCTAGCAGAGAGGAGAGAGAGTTCCTGGCCCGGGCAGGCCAGGCAGCACAGCTGTTTTTCGGGAATCTCAAGAGTTGAAGAAGAATTTCGGGGCCTTACAGTGGGGAAGAGAGAGGAAGTTCCCTATAAAATATACTACATAAAATAAAGCTACTTAAATTATCTAATACGGTTTTAAATTTAACACAGATATGCAGCTGGAATTATATCTTAAAGCCCAAGTATAAAAAGAGCCTATAATATTGGGTGGTATTTATATAGCAACTGAATCATATTTAGTCAATAATTATCAGAAATTAACTAACAAACAGCTTTAACTATCAGCTTTAACTTTAATACCAGCTCAAATAGCTTAAATATCAAATTCCTTAACAAACAGCTGACAGACAAGAAAAGTAGAGTCCCACACCCACTGTACCTTGGCTGGGAAAGCACAACCCACCGGCCACAACCCACCGCCCCCTTGCGCAGACATCTTTTAACGTCCCCGTGAAATATTAGGCCTGGGCTTCAGCCTGGAACTCAGATCTGGGGACTGGCGGCTAGGTTGGGGAAACAAAAGAGGGCTACAGGGATACATAAAGAATAGTGGGTGGTGGTGGGCGAGAAAAGCCTGGTATGAAGCCAAATCATCTGTTCTAAATCGATTTGACTTGTTTTTGTTGTTCTTTAGTTTCCCTTTTTTTGTGTATAAGGTTTTTCAAGAAAAATCTACCATCTTGAGGCTATACTTTGAGTTTAAAACCAAGTCTTGGGACTCTATTTTGGAGTTATCTATATCTGTATACCTCCACATCTCCTCTTGGCTACTTAATTGACCCCAAAAATAGCAATCGAAAATTGCTTTAAATTTTTTTAAACTTCAACGGCAGCCAAACGAATCTGAGATCTACGCCTACGGCTCTAGATCTCTAGAGGGACAGAGAAACTAGGCATTTTTGCTCATTAAATAAATCAAAAAATTGCTTGACTCTGACTGTCTCTCCATAAAAGTCGAATTTCTCGACGAAAAACACGTAATTTATGCAAATTGGCCGAAAAGTTGGCCAAAATCCTAAGCAAATAGTCACTTTTTTGAAAGAAAACAACTTTATTTTAAAGAGAATTGTTGCTATATAGTAAATATAGTTATATCATATAGTTATACTCTTTATAAAGCTTAGTATGACCCTAAAAACTATTATCAGATAGCACCGCTTGCCTGTCAACCCAGCCTCTGACCTAGCTCTCGGATCTGAGATCTCAGATGGTTCTCCTCGTTGCGAGACCTACGTGCTGTATCCCCTTCTCCCGAAAAGCCCCTCTTTCCCTCAAAAAAAACCAACCATTATTACGTGCCACAAGCCAACAACTATCAGATAAAACATGATCATAACAGCACATATAAAACAAAAAAAAAAACATTAAAAAAAAATTTAACTATTTTGATGTCGGGCCAGTATGAAATTTTATTGTTACGCTTGTGTAACAACTACAACAACAACAAAAAATTAAATAAAAATGTGAGCTGAGCCATACAAGAACCAGTCACGTTATGAGTAATTATAAAAAAAAACACAACAACAAAAACAACTACAGGTATAAACTGCAGTAGGATGGCAGTTTCAGGGTTTATTTTTAATATTTTTTCCCAAATCACTCGCCAAGAAAACGAAATTTATGATTATGATTGGAGAACCACTCGAGTGAAGGTCAATAGATTGCTGGGAGGGGGACGAGGAGGAGGAGGCGTAGGGTCAATAAAAAGGTGCGATAATAATGAAAAGAAATTAATGAAGGCAGACTTTCAATGGCTATATGAGTATGACAGTACTATACTTTAACATACTATACTTTACTATACTATACTAGTTATTTATTTATTTATCTAAAGCTAACAAATAGTTCTAAACTTAGAGCTAACTCAGGGCCATACTATACTATATTATACTTTCTTGTTTTTTAAAAGAATTTTTAAAGAATTTTTTAAAAACAGTTCCGCATTCTGTTCCGCTTCTAAGAGCCCCTCACTAGTCTAGTTTTTTAGATAAAAACCCAACTCACCTAACTAAACTAACTAAATGGCCATTTTCACAACCCACTGACCACCATGTGCGAGTGTGTGTGATACCTTCGAGGTGGCAATTAACGGTGATCAAGGGTGTAGGTAGGTCTCTATTATACCTTCCAATTTGCGAGGGTGGCCAAGGGTGAAGGTCAAATGGGGGACTATTAAGACGCGTTTTTTTTCAACACCACTTTACATTCTTTTCCACTTAACATTTAATATTTGTTTTTTTTTCTGATGATTTTTTGGGAGGGCAATCAATCAATCAATCAATCGATGTGTGTGTAGAGTGACAACTCTGCAATTTACAGTTACTGACCTTTTTTCGGCTGCAATTTTCCCGATTTTTCGTTCAGTCCGGCGCAATTTTGTTTACTTTTGCTGGTTTCTTGTTGTTGTTTTTCGTTCAGTTGGGTTGGGTATTTTCGGGCCCGAAAAAGGACGAATTCTATATATTTGGCAGGACCTCTCTCTCTAAGGCTAGCGCTCTCTTCTTCTTCGGCTGCTGGGGCGTCCTCCTCTCTGGCTCCTTGCGCGCGCGCTCTGGCCAATTGATTTTCACTTTTGGCCAAATTGTCACAAAAAAACGCAAAAATAATAATAAACGTTGAACTACACAGGAATTTTCACTTGTGCCACTTATTTTTTTTTTTGGGTGGCCAGTAGTATTATTTTATGTTGTTGTTGTTATTGGTGCTGCAGAGGGAACAGGTTTACCTTGCTTCTTTTTTTTTGGGTTTTTTTGAAAAACAAGAAATTCCTACTGCGTTTTTATTTTCCTACCGCCTTTGCCGTTTTTTTTTTTTTTTGTTTCTCCTTCTTTGAGATGCTCACACACACACACGCGCACACTAACACACACACGCACACCGGCCGCCGCACTGCTTCGGCCTAACAACAAAAATTCTTTTGCTGTCTTTGATTTTTGTGTGTGTTGTTTTTTCTCCTTTTTGCCTGCTCTGCTGCTGCAGAGGCGAACCGGTTTTTGTTTTTGCACTTCACTTTGCTTCACTTTTTAGTTAAAAATATTTCTTTAGTTAAAAACATCAGTTAGGCTATCAATAATTACAGCATTAATTCTGATTTTTGTCGGTAGGACTTTCTATTGCCATACTCTTCTACATGCACCGCTATTTTCACACGGCCGCATAGGCGCTCTCGCTCGCACGCGTCTTGAGCCGCACAACGAAATTTCCTATGTATTTTTATTTCCGAGTTTACATTTTTGCGTCGCCGAGCGACACAACCTTCCCGTTCGACGGTTGATTTTCGAATCCAATTGGATTCTACTCGTTGTTTCTCATTTTACTCGATTCGAGCCAGTGTTGAGAAATCTCGCGCGGAAATTCCGTCTTTTGACGTTTTCCAACACAAAGCTGCAGAAAGTCGCGCGCGTTTTTCCAGCGTTTTTTTACTGCCTTTTGTTGGAAGACGTCAAAAAATGGAATTTCTGCGCGAAATTGCTCAACATTGGCGCTCGTCAAACCCAAATTCCAAACAAAAACATTTCAGAGAGATAAAAATATGAAGATAAAAAATTGCGCGCGATTTTCTTTTGTTTCTTGTTGAAATATCAAAAAAATTAATTTTTATCGAAATATCGATATTTTTTTATTTAAATATTTTTTACCAAAATAATTAAATCAATTTCTTTTTCAACTTTGGAAAAAAATGTGGGAAAAAAAACAGCAATCAAAATTGTGAAACTATAGCTATATTTTTAAAAATTCCAACACGTTTTCGAAGGACAATGTTTAAGAACCTCAAATTAAAGTATTAAAAAAATAAATTAATTAAAAGTAGAAAATAAGAACCCATAATTATATTAAACCATTTTCTTCATATTTCTTTAAAAATTTTACGAGATTTGGCTGCGAAAATGCGACCGGAGAACCGAAAATGTACATAATATTTTATAAGATAAAGAAATCAATTTTATATTTAACATTGTTATAAAAAGACTCGTAGTCCCATGGCGGCGAAAAAAACCACCCATCATAAATGTAGATATTTTTCAAAATTTCAACATAGCTTTTAGAAGTACAATGTTTAAGAACCTCAAATTAAAGTATTAAAAAAATAAATTAATTAAAAGTAGAAAATAAGAACCCATAATTATATTAAACCATTTTCTTCATATTTCTTTAAAAATTTTACGAGATTTGGCTGCGAAAATGCGTCCGGAGAACCGAAAATGTACATAATATTTTATAAGATAAAGAAATCAATTTTATATTTAACATAGTTAAAAAAGACTCGTAGTCCCATGGCGGCGAAAAAAACCACCCATCATAAATGTAGATATTTTTCAAAATTTCAACATAGCTTTTAGAAGTACAATGTTTAAGAACCTCAAATTAAAGTATTAAAAAAATAAATTAATTAAAAGTAGAAAATAAGAACCCATAATTATATTCAACCATTTTCTTCATATTTCTTTAAAAATTTTACGAGATTTGGCTGCGAGAATGCGACCGGAGAACCGAAAATGTACATAATATTTTATAAGATAAAGAAATCAATTTTATATTTAACATTGTTATAAAAAGACTCGTAGTCCAATGGCGGCAAAAAAAACCACCCATCATAAATGTAGATATTTTTCAAAATTTCAACATAGCTTTTAGAAGTACAATGTTTAAGAACCTCAAATTAAAGTAGTAAAAAAAGAAAAATTCATTTAAAATAAAATATATGAACCCATAATGATAATACAACAGTCTTTTCACATTCCTTAAAGAATCTACGGGATCTTCGCCAAACTATCAGATTATAGCGATATCTAATAAAATACTTGAAAAATAAAAACCAAAGAAAATAACATTATAAATGGAAGCAAAAATAAACAAGAGCCGCAAAATTTAAATAAAATAAAAGAAGAATGAGTCCATGGCGCTTTCAAACAGACTGCCTAATAGGTCTGACCAGAACTCGCCTTATATACGATTTCTACCATGGGCTAGTGTGGTCTATCATCAGCAAAATAACACTTTCAGGATTTTTTAGGATTTACAAAAAGAAACAGGGATGCTATTCATTGCTAAAACTCATTCAATGGCAACTCATATCTGATGTAAAATTTTGGTTCAGAAAAATTTAAAAACTCTTTAAGTACCTCCGATTCTCGTTTAAAATAATATACTCCCTAAAAATTGTTTTAAAATTTGTCCTTTGTGTTTTCCTCTATAAGGTCCACAGCGATGGCTATATCTTCCCCAATTTTCATCCGATTCTCAAGCGGAGTACCTTAAACGATTTCTAGATCGATTCTTCATCATTTTGCATCAAAATCCTGAGACAAAATATTTTGTAGATTTTTTTCCATTTTTCCTGAAGGGATCCCTTGAAAGTGAGGTTTTCCCCTATAGGGTCCACAAGGATGGCTATATCTTCCCCAATTTTCATCCGATTCTCAAGCGGAGTACCTTAATCGATTTCTAGATAGATTCTTCATCATTCTGCATCAAAATCCTGAGACAAAATATTTTTTAGACTTTTTTCCATTTTTCCTGATGGGATCCCTTGAAAATGAGGTTTCCCCCTTTAGGGTCCACAGCGATGGCTATATCTTCCCCAATTCTCATCCGATTCTCAAGCGGAGTACCTTAAACGATTTCTAGATAGATTCTTCATCATTCTGCATCAAAATCCTGAGACAAAATATTTTGTAGATTTTTTTCCATTTTTCCTGAAGGGATCCCTTGAAAGTGAGGTTTTCCCCTATAGGGTCCACAAGGATGGCTATATCTTCCCCAATTTTCATCCGATTCTCAAGCGGAGTACCTCAAACGATTTCTAGATCGATTGGCCACCATTCTGCATCAAAATCCTGAGACAAAATATTTTTTAGATTTTTTTCCATTTTTCCTGATGGGATCCCTTGAAATTGAGGTTTCCCCCTATAGGGTCCACAGCGATGGCTATATCTTCCCCAATTCTCATCCGATTCTCAAGCGGAGTACCTTAAACGATTTCTAGATAGATTCTTCATCATTCTGCATCAAAATCCTGAGACAAAATATTTTGTAGATTTTTTTCCATTTTTCCTGATGGGATCCCTTGAAAATGAGGTTTCCCCCTTTAGGGTCCACAGCGATGGCTATATCTTCCCCAATTCTCATCCGATTCTCAAGCGGAGTACCTTAAACGATTTCTAGATAGATTCTTCATCATTTTGCATCAAAATCCTGAGACAAAATATTTTTTAGATTTTTTTCCATTTTTCCTGATGGGATCCCTTGAAAATGAGGTTTTCCCCTATAGGGTCCACAGGGATGGCTATATCTTCCCCAATTTTTATCCGATTCTCAAGAGGAGTACCTTAAACGATTTCTAGTTCGATTGGCCACCATTCTGCATCAAAATCCTGAGACAAAATATTTTTTAGATTTTTTTCCATTTTTCCTGATGGGATCCCTTGAAATTGAGGTTTCCCCCTATAGGGTCCACAGCGATGGCTATATCTTCCCCAATTCTCATCCGATTCTCAAGCGGAGTACCTTAAACGATTTCTAGATAGATTCTTCATCATTCTGCATCAAAATCCTGAGACAAAATATTTTGTAGATTTTTTTCCATTTTTCCTGATGGGATCCCTTGAAAATGAGGTTTCCCCCTTTAGGGTCCACAGCGATGGCTATATCTTCCCCAATTCTCATCCGATTCTCAAGCGGAGTACCTTAATCGATTTCTAGATAGATTCTTCATCATTCTGCATCAAAATCCTGAGACAAAATATTTCTTAGACTTTTTTCCATTTTTCCTGATGGGATCCCTTGAAAATGAGGTTTCCCCCTTTAGGGTCCACAGCGATGGCTATATCTTCCCCAATTCTCATCCGATTCTCAAGAGGAGTACCTTAAACGATTTCTAGATCGATTCTTCAACATTTTGCATCAAAATCCTGAGACAAAATATTTTGTAGATTTTTTTCCATTTTTCCTGAAGGGATCCCTTGAAAGTGAGGTTTTCCCCTATAGGGTCCACAAGGATGGCTATATCTTCCCCAATTTTCATCCGATTCTCAAGCGGAGTACCTCAAACGATTTCTAGATCGATTCTTTATCATTTTGCTTCAAAATCCTGAGACAAAATATTTGTTTCCATTTTTCCTGATGGGATCCCTTGAAAATGAGGTTTTCCCCTATAGGGTCCACAGGGATGGCTATATCTTCCCCAATTCTCATCCGATTCTCAAGCGGAGTACCTTAATCGATTTCTAGATAGATTCTTCATCATTCTGCATCAAAATCCTGAGACAAAATATTTTTTAGACTTTTTTCCATTTTTCCTGATGGGATCCCTTGAAAATGAGGTTTCCCCCTTTAGGGTCCACAGCGATGGCTATATCTTCCCCAATTCTCATCCGATTCTCAAGAGGAGTACCTTAAACGATTTCTAGATCGATTCTTCAACATTTTGCATCAAAATCCTGAGACAAAATATTTTGTAGATTTTTTTCCATTTTTCCTGAAGGGATCCCTTGAAAGTGAGGTTTTCCCCTATAGGGTCCACAAGGATGGCTATATCTTCCCCAATTTTCATCCGATTCTCAAGCGGAGTACCTCAAACGATTTCTAGATCGATTCTTCATCATTTTGCATCAAAATCTTGAGACAAAATATTTTTTAGATTTTTTTCCATTTTTCCTGATGGGATCCCTTGAAAATGAGGTTTTCCCCTATAGGGTCCACAGGGATGGCTATATCTTCCCCAATTTTCATCCGATTCTCAAGAGGAGTACCTTAAACGATTTCTAGTTCGATTGGCCACCATTCTGCATCAAAATCCTGAGACA